TACTTAGGGTATATAACATGATGATTTAATATACATAGTGGAACAATTGCTAGTCAAGCTAATTAACATATATTCTGACATGTTACTATGCTTTCTTGTGATGAGAGTACCTGAGATCTACTCTCTTAACCAATGTCTAGTATTCACTACAGTAGTAACTATCGTTTTCACATTGTACCTTAATCTCTAACTTATTTGCCCTACAGATCTGTGACTTTGACCTTTGACCACCATCTCCCCATTTCCCTCACCACCACCCCTCCCCCAAGCCCTGGTCACCACCACCTGCTTCTGTGTATTTGACGTTTTTAGATTCCAGGTGTATGTGGGGTTGTGCAGTTTGTTTTTCCTTCTGTGCCTGGCTTATTTCACTCAGCGTCATGTCCTCCACTTCCATTCATATTGTTGCAAATGACAGGATCACCTTCTCTTTAAGGCTGAAAATATACCATTTTATATATGTGCCGCAATTTACCCATTATATGTCAGTGGACACTGGGGCCGTTTCCATGTCTTGACTCTTGTGATTAACACTGCAGTGAACTTAGGAACATATATCTCTCTTCAAGGTACTGATTTCATTTCCTTTGGGAATATATCCAGGGGAGATATTGCTAAATAATATAGTTGTCCTATCTTTAATGTTTTGAGGAACCTCCATACCGTTTTCCCCCGATATGTTGAGGTGAATTATGGAAATAAAATTACATAAAAGGGTACAGAGGTAACAACTGATTGTTTCGTGGGAATCCTTTTAAGTAGGCACCCATTTGCAGAGGGACACAGATACATGGCCAAGGGTAGACAATCAAAGGACCATATATGTAGCATGACTGCCCCATTAAACCCAGAGGGCCTCTCAGCAGGAGCTCTTAAGCTATTTCAGGTTTCCAAGAAAAATTGTGCACTGCCGAATCAGCCATGGTTGGCCATTGCCGATTTCCACATTTGTTTATGTTAAAAGCCCCTTTCTTCATAGAAAATCTTCTCCCTTATGAGCTGTGTCCACGCCCAACTGGGGCATTTCAGGTCAACCAAACCACATTGCATTCTCTCTACAGAGATGGTCCAGGTTGCTCCCAACACCGGGCCTTGCACATTGAGATCTTCTGGAATGTCTGTCAATGATGCAGAGCATACTGCCTCCCCTGGGGGAAGGTACAGGAGACAGGAGTCAGGGAAGGTGGGATCTCTGAGGGCTCTCTGAACCGGAGGTGTAGGGAGCTGTCCTACATCTTAGATCCTTTTCTCTGTTTTAGAGCCCACCCAGGGGGCTCAATAAGCACGATGAAGCCTCTTGTTCGAGAGCATGTTTCTTCATCCAAGCATTTACTCAGCATCTGCTATGAGTAGACCGGGGCTAGCCACCAGGAATCCAAAGACAAGAGTGAGACCTAAGACATGATCCTGCCTTAAGGACAGGTCAGGGCAGCCTGCAGTGTGGGAAGTGTCACTGGGGAGTGTAGCCTACTGTCACTGGGGCACAGAGCAGAGCACCTACCCCACCTGGCAGAAAGGAGCTGGGTCTTCCTAGTAACAGCCCCAGTGGCCTTCAAGGGTGTACCAGAGGCAAGTGAAGGAGGAAGGTAGCCCAGGAAAAGTACATGGGAAATAAATAGTGCCCACTGGGGAACCAATTCTGAGCACCTTAGTACACAACACCCAGAATGTAGGAAATAGGGTTGGAAAGATAGGCTCCAATCACCAGGTTCTACTTGCAGAAGAAGGGGTGGGGTAGTAGGCAAACTAAATGACCTCCAGAGAGAATTCAAAGTCAAGACTGAAGCATAAGGTTCAATTCTTAATTTTCTTCCCTTGAGTGAAAAAGCAAAATATTTAAGAACACAAAGCTGGTATTGGATGGATAGGCCTCTAGTCCTGACTGCTGCATATTAGTTTCTTTGCCTTTAAAATAAGAATTTTACAAAGGACTGTGACCCTGGGATTCTTAATGACTGAGATATAAACACCCCTAGACCAAGGTAGTAAAGGGAGGTGGAGAAGGAATCCAAAGAGGAGTGCCTGGTAGAGTTTGCTCCCTGAGAGGGAGCAGTGGCCTTCAGTCAATGGGTGTAGCCAACCTGAGTGCTGAATGAGAGCAGCCAGGCCAACACATATCCCATCCCTGACTCCCCTGTTCCTTTACCATCTGCCATTGGCCAACCCCTGTCAGATGTCAGAGTTCACCCCTCGTTCAGGTATCCATATAGATCGCCCTCCCAGGGCACAGAGCAGACTGGAAAGTGGCTCTAAAGGGTGAGCAAAGGTGTCAGGGACACACATATCCTGGGGGAATTGAAGTTCAAATGAAATCATACAGCAAAGCTCTTAGAGGCATTTTTTACCTAAAACAAGTGCTCAGTCAAGGCTAAATGAGAATCTAGCAGTACATTTGCATGAACATGCTACAGGTAGATAAGACGGCAAAGTGAGAAAGACTGAAGGTATCAGGGTTCCCCTTGGATGACCATCCTGAGGTGGGGTGCAAGCAATTGATGAGCCCTGGAAAGGTATGTTGCCTGTAAATGGGCATGACCATCAGTCATTGGGTTTGTAACTTTAGATGTCATTCCTTTCTTTCTTTTTTTTAGTTTATTTTTTTATTTTGAGAGAGAGCGTGAGTGAGCAGGGAAGAGACAGAGGGGGAGGGAGAGAGAAAATCCCAAGCAGTCTCCATGACATCAATGCAGAGCCCAATGCGGGGCTCCATTCATGAGCCATGAAATCATGACCTGAGCTGAAACCAAGAGTCAGACTCAGCATACTGACCCACCCAGGTGCCCCAGATGTTACTCTGAACCACAGACTTTTAGGCCTAGAACACTGGAAATAGCTTTATCGTCTTTGAGTATGCATGGTAAGATAATTTGTACATTATTTAAATGGTATGATATATAAAATAACACAAGGATTCTACTTGCCAGTAGGTCTAGACTGCAGAAGCCTTTGTCTTGTATGTGGAGATAAACCACTCAGAGTTGTTTGCTCTCTTTGGACCCTCCATACAAACCTACTAATGAAATAGCCCAGCCAGGGAGCTCTGTGAAATTTCTAGATCTGAAGAAGATTCAACAACTTCTATCTGTTCTTCTCTTCTTTTACAATCCTTATTTTAAAATCCTCCTTCTTAATGTTAACTTCGTCTCCAAGCTATACCCACATCCTTTTCTTCCATCCTCAATATAGCCACATAAGTGGTATTCTATTCTCCATCCAAAAGAGCTTAAAAACCAGAAGAAATTGGGATATACATTAACAAAATTGGCACAAGACGAATAAATCTTTCCTGGAATTTTCTTAAAGGTTTTTTTTTCCTTGAAAAGAAAGCCAAACTGTAAAGTAAAACACACTCAGTTGTTAATAAACAAAAACCTCACATATCTAAAATTCAGTCATTTTCCAAGATGAACTAACATTTTGCTCTGTCTGCTTTTCCTAATATGCACATTTCATTTAGCCCAAATCCTCATTACGGGAAGCATTTACATGTCCATCTCACGGCTCCAGCGTTTCCTGGGCTGGAATATGTGCTCCATGGTTTCAGAGCCCTGGTTCTTATTCATTTTGCCAAAAGCAGCAAATCTTTAAAAGTGAAATTTTCCAGGCACTTAGCCCCTAAATCAACCTTGTGGGGATAGATGAGTTTTGAATCTTATCGGCCCACAAAATGTCTCACAGCCTTTAAAAATGTCATCAGCCTTCACCCTGGGCAGTGTCACCAGTGACACCATGTGTCACAGCCCAAGCAGCTGAAGAATGAATGTACCAACGCTGCGTTTTGAACCTTTATTAAGTTTCTGATTTGCCGACAACCTAATCCCTCACAGGCCTGCTGAGCCCTGTTCATTTGTTCTCATTAAATGGATCTTTATGCTGGAGCCGTGTTCTGAACAAAGCTCGGCAACATGGGCAGGTTCAGGGCTCGTCTGGGGGCGGAGCTCCCACTGCAGCTGCCCCTCTCCGGGGGCTGATGTGAGCCCAGAACCAGCCACATGGCTCTGCATCCAGACTTCTAGAATCCAGCTCTGCCTCCTGCTCTGCCCATCCTTGCAGCTCCAGACTCCATCTTACCCCTTCCTGGATATCCAGTCCTGGCAGAGAGCCTGCCCCTGACCCCTGTGGGCTTAGACATGTACTAGATCCTTCCCTGGGTGTCCTCGCCATGCAAACAAATTGAAACAGGAGGACCATAGAGCCGCAGCATCTTAAAGCCACAAAGAATACTAGGAATTTCTAGTCTGGCCTCCTTATTTTCAAATGAGGAAATCTTGGTACAGAAAATGCATCCGTGACCTGCTAATGCACATCAGAGAAGAAAGCAGGACTGGCGTGAGAACCCATAGTCTTATGGGATGAATTGTATTTAGGGTATTTAATAAACAGTTTCCCTCCTGTTATGTTGCTCAGCTGACTGTTGCTACCTCCAGAACTGCACATGGCTTGTACCAACATTCTAGTATCATCTTGTAAAATTCTATTTTGAAAGGGTTTTGGGAAGAGGGTTGATAGCATTATGATTTGCGCCAACATCTGCCTTTATATTTATTGTACGTTAATGGCCCAAACTGTGACCTTCCCAAAACCCAGTTTAGGCATGGTAGGTTGGTAATGTGCATTTTAGGGCAACTTGTGGCAGGTTGGTTACCAACCCATCATCTCTTGGGGACAGTGTTACAGACAATAAGATGAGTGGCACTTGACACAAGGTTTGGGGGTTGGTTTGGGAGTATATGGGGCTCTGGTTAATAACATGGAAAGGTGGACTTAACATATGTGTTAACTTCAGATCATCACCTTTTTGCTATTTATCAAATCACAATTTTAGCTCTGTGCCACCCCTGCCTGTAGGATGTGTGATTTCTTTGCTCAGATGGCACTTGTCACACACATGGAACAGGTTGTCTCACTTTGGGTGGCAGTGACTTCCTTCCATGCAGAATGTCCAGCCACCACAGTGGATATGCAACCACAACAGATCTTTACACTGTCTTGTCTTCCAGGCTCTGTGGCTACCCCCCTTTTTACGATGAAAATGACTCCAAGCTCTTTGAGCAGATCCTCAAGGCAGAATATGAGTTTGACTCCCCCTACTGGGATGACATCTCTGAGTCTGGTAAGTCTCTCGGTTCCCTACGAGTGGCCCCTGGGACCCTTACATCCAGACCACCTGCCCGTGACAGGCCTGGGGGGTTCAGAGTGGTTCTGAGGCTCCCAAGGAAGTTCCCCTAGCTTCGCACTTGGACTTGACTTGCAAAGTGGAAGATAGGCTCGGGACGTCTGGCCCGAGCCAGGCCGAGGGACTGGACTGACCTCTCCACCACTCTTAGCCATGTGCTGATCTGGGCACTCCAGTACTGAAACAATATTAGCTACCATTTATTGAGTGCTTACTGTGTGCTGAGCACTATGAGCTCCGAGCATCTGCTAGCTTAGTTGGTCCTCAGGACAGCCTATTGGATAGGTGTTATTATTATCCCCACTTGACAGGTGAATTAACTGAGGCCCCAGAAGGTGAGATGCCTTGACTGAAGCCACACAGCTGGTAAGTGGCAGACCTGGGATTTGAACCCAAGCCCTCATGCCGGGGCCCACGTCTCCGCTACTATGCCACAATGAAACGTCCCAGAGCTGTTCACCATTTCCTCCTCAGGGATAAAGGTCAAAACCAAGGCTCATGTAAACTGATGAGTCTCTCGAGCCTCAGTGTCCTCCTGAGGAAGTCAGGATGATAATAACACTCCTCCCCGCCAAAGTGGGTGGTGCAAGGATTAAATAAAATACTAAACGGGACAGAGCCCTGCCCTTACTGGCAAGGTGTTCAGATAGCACATTTTATTATTTGAGTTACTTATTATTTGAGTTATTTCCTCCTAACTGGAAACACCTGCTTTATTCCTCATCAAAATTACCTGCTCATTGTGATCGGCTAAGTGGGCTGCGAGGGGGCTCCTTGAAGGCTGCATGTCCACAATGCCTGCCCAGAGCCTGGTGACTTTGGTAGAGGCCGAGGGTGTTTTGTTGAATCAGTGATGTCTGAAACACAGAGAGGACATCCACAAAGCAGCTGCCTCGGCAGCGGTGAGCTCAGCGAGAGGCACATGATGACAAAGATATTTGATCTCTGAACCAAAGATGTCACTAGCTGCCAAAGAGAAGGGCTTTGAGTTGGGAAGGCAGGGTCCCAAGCCTGGCTTGGCTGCCTCCTCATTCACTGTGTCACCTCTCAAGAGTGCCAAGTCTTGGCTTCGCTTTCCCCCAGACGCTGATTCCCGCCTGTGTCCAAGGTACACAAGAGGGTCAATGGGAGGGGTAGGGGGCTGGTCTGTTTTTCACACGCCATGCAATATTCCCAAGGGCCTGGTGGCATCAAATTGTCGCATCACAAACCAAAGACTGATTCCACACCTTGTGCTTTCTTTGAACAGCAAAAGACTTCATTCGGAATCTGATGGAGAAAGATCCAAATAAAAGATACACATGTGAGCAAGCCGCTCGGCATCCATGGTAAGAAAAATCACCCACTAGAAAGACCATGCCATCTCATGCCTTCCCAGAGTAAAGTCCCTCTTAGCCATTCTTAATTGTGGAACGATTACATCTCCTACTGACCGGTGGCTTTGACCATGTCCCCGAGGCAACACTTGAACTACTCTGTTCCCTCAGGACACAGTCTTCTGAATGCATAGATGACAAGTGAAGTGTGCAAAAGATAGCTGTAGAGTTTTCATGTTACATCAAGTATTTTAGGATCATTTTTACTGAAGGTAATTCTCCAAGGAGTCATTCAGATTGGAGTTTGATTCCTTGAGCTTACTGTTCAATAGGTAAGTGAATTGATGTTATTTATTCTCCTTTTAAGATGCTTTTCACCTTCATGTGCCTTTAACCCCAGAGGCACTTATTGATAGCGTGTGGTATTCTGTATGACTACAGTTCTCCGCAGTGCCCTTGAAGCCACTTAACCAGCTTTGAACTCAGCTTCATGAACCACTAGCTGTTATTCTGCATTTATACTTAACTTCTCTGAGCCTCCATTTTCTTATCCTTAAAATGAGAACTGAGTTACCCAGTTTACAGGGCTGATGTAAGAAATAATTGAGGTTATGTCTGTAAAGGGTTTAACACAATGTCTTGTACGTAGTAAATGTTTCATTAAGCTATTTTCATTAAACTGCCAAGAGAATCCATCTAGAAACAAAGACCAGCAATGGTAAAATATGAGATCTGATGAAAACAAATGGATAGAGTTTGACTTCGAGAGAAATTCCCCTAAAAAGCACTCAAGACAACTGCCCCCTTGTCTGTTCAACCCTCATCGGTAGCATTTCCTCCAGAGTCTCACATGTTGGTTAGTTTTCAGAAGAGGACCTGCTCAGGGGAGCATTGTGACCTGGTTCATAGTACAGACAGTCCCCAGCCCAATGATGTTTTTGACTTGACAGTGGTGTAAAAGAGATACACATTCAGTAGAAACTGTACATCCAGTTTTGAATTTTGATCTTGGGCTAGCAGCATTAGGTACCATCTTCTTTTGTGATGCTCTGTCAGCCACATGATCATGAGGGTCAACAACCTGTATGCTGACAACCATTCTGTCCCCAGGCAAGTCATTCTGTCCCCAGACAACCAGTATGTTACATGAGCCACTCAGCACTTTATCATAAGATAAGCTATGTGTTAGATGATTTTGCCCAACTACAGGCTAAAGTGAGTGATTGGAGCTCAGTTAGGGTAGGCTGGGCTGAGCTCTGATGTTTGGTGAGTGAGGTGTATTAAATGCACATTTGATCTATGATATTTTCAACATCTGTGGATTTATTGGGACTTAACCCCATTGTAAATCAAGGAAGATCTGTATTTTAACTTATAACAACAGTTGTCACTTATTGAGCAGGAATTCTGGTTCATGTTCTCATTGCATTAACAGATTATCTCATGTTTTTCTGTACAATGACCCTTGTAAGGTAGGTTTTATCTCCATTTCAGAGATAAGAGAATTGTTACAAAGTAACGTAGCCTTAGTCAAGATGGCACAACCACTACCTAATGGTGAAGCCAGAATGGTTCCCAGCCAGAACTGATTTCAAAATAAATGCTCTCCACCACCACCCTGTAAAGAGAAGTAAAAGGAAAACAGGAATGGTCACAGGGGTGGGAAAGATATTTCTGAATAAGGAGGCAGATTTTATTGTATATATTTTTATAAGCTTAAAATAAATGATTTTTTTGATAAGTTACATGGGACAATATAGGTCAAAGTATGTGACAATAAAGTTAGTAAAGCTTGTTCTTTATCAACAATTAGAAGAAATGCTACCGATGAGAGTAGGGGCAGGGCCATTTTCTCACGTGCTTTTTAGGGGAATTTCTCCTGAAGTCATAACAGCCTTTAAAGCTATATGAGATTTTGTTTTCCTCCAGTTTTACTGAGATATAGTTGACAGACACTGTATAAGTTTAAGGAAGGTGTACATCATATAGCGTAACGATTTGGCATGTGTATGTATTATAAAGTGATTACCACAATAAGTTTAATTAACACCCATCCCTTATATAGGTACCCTGCCCCAACTTTTTTCCCTGTGATGAGACGTTTTAGGAGTTACTCTCTTAGAACCATAGCCATCATGTCGTATATGACATTGCAGCACATGCTTATTTTGTACGCATGAGACGTTGGAGATGATCTGACAGAAGAGGAAAGAGACCTCTAAAGAAGGACTTGTCCACTAATCTGCCCTTACTGTGCAGAAGACAGGAAGGATCCCAGCTGAAACGTGGTCTCTCCTTCACCAGATATTTTTGACAAATGAACAAAGGGTAAAGTCTGGCCTCAGAGGACTTCCCCAAGGGGCCAAGCCTCACTGAAAGAAGGCCTTCCCAGACTGTCCAGGAGGGGAGGTGTTCCAGGCGAAGCGAGCACCCTGGGCCATGCTCAGGGGCCTAAACCGTGCCTCTATCCTGGAGCCACCACTCTCGGTGTTCCTGGAGGGGGCGTGGGCACAGGAGCGAGGCAGGAGGGGATGAGACGGACAGGATCGCCATAGTTCTCCAGGGCAGCCTGCTCAAGGGCGGGTCCCAGCTCCGCCCTGTGTCCCTGCATCTGTGAGCTCCTGAGCTCTGTGGGCCCCTGTGTCCAACTGAGATCATAAATAACAGCAGTACACATCCTTCAGGGCTTTTCAAGGGATTCATGAGATACGATACACTAATAGTAAGAAGAGGACCTAGCACCTAACAAATGTCTGATCTATAGGAGTTGCCCTTCATTTATGACCATGTTAAGCAATTTGTATTTTTCCCTTGGGCCCCCTGACAGGTTTTAAGCCAGGCGATCAGATTTGCATTTCAGAAAGCTCCACTGGTGTCAGGAGGGAGACCAAATTGGTGGCCATGGGGCAAGGGAGGCTGGCAGGGAAGAGCAGACTGGAGGTGGGGCGGGGGTTGGCCCAGAGCAGGGTGGAGGGGGCCTGACCAGGGCCACAGGAAGGAAGAGGATGGAGGACACGCCAGGGGTGGGGAGCCGCAGCTTGGGGCAGAGCGCTGCCGCGGCCCAGGGGTCTGAGGTCATCCCCAAGGCGCCAGTTGGAGGGCCTGGGTGGGTGAGACGCCTCCACCGTGAGGAGCAGGAGGGAGGGCCCAGGAGTCGTCCAGGTGCTGGAGGCGGAGGCCCTTTGCCGAGTGAGTCTGGAGCCCAGGAACGAGGTTGGGCTGGAGACAGAGACTTCACGGTCATCTGCCTGGGTCACAGTAGGATGTATTCACGTGTGAGCTGTACAAATTAATGCCTTTGTACCGTAGAGCTGGGTTTTTGCCAGCACTTTATAATTTTTATCGTGCGTTTCAGAAGTCCCAGGAAGTCAAATATTAGAAAATGGTAAAAATGAATGCCCTTGAGTCAGACCTCATTGAAATGCCCCACTGCCTGCATTTTTGATATGCCTGTTTCTTTTATGTAAAATTGCTCGGGCTGACAGCACCGCCAGCTTCAGCGGAGAGCTGGTGGAAAGTGGGGTAATTATTCCAGGGAGCACAGCTTCATCAACACTACCATTCTGGAAGCTGTGCTCTTGGCACATCGGTTGTATCCAGAGAACTTGATCTCTTATTCTGCACTTGCTCTTCTGGCTTAATCAAGGCTTCTGAGAGCCAGGAGGGGCTCTGGAAGTCCCGAACCCCTTTCCTCAGCCTCAAAACAGACCACACCAGATAGAATAAGGTTCCTTCTAGAGCTGTCTACATGGAGCATTTTTTTAAAAATTTTTAAATGTTTATTCATTTTTGAAAGACAGAGACCTGCTTTTGTGAGTAAGGGGCGGGGGGGGCAGAGAGAGAGACACATTGAATGCAAAGCAGACTCCAAACTCTGAGCTGTCAGCACAGACCCTGATGTGAGGGTCGAACTCATGAGCCATGAGATCATGACCTGAGCTGAAGTCAGACGCTTAACTGACTGAGCAACCCAGGTGCCCCTCCCAAGACCCTGTCATGAGAGGCTATGTCTTTCTCATGACAGCACGTGGTAAGGAACCAGCAGCCTGCAGGCCAAAGGTAGGAACTGGCAAGTGACAGGATGGGAGCCTGTTCCTCCTCACAGGGAAACATCTTGATGGGTTTGTTCATCTGGTTCGGATAGTTCTGAACCTGTCTCTAGTTGCATTGACACCTCAGGCAACACTTGGCAATGTGCCCACCTGAGGGGGACATTGTATGTTGGCCAGGCCAGGGTGGCATCCACAGCCCTCTCATCAATGTTCACTGGGACCCCTCCTCTCTTCTGGGCTCCAGCCAGCCCAGCTATGGTCGACCATAGGAATCGGGAAGCAGCCCAGGAGTCTGGGAAACTGGTTTCTGGAGGTGTACACGGGCATCACCAAGCCCGTCATGAGAAAGTGGCTAGAAAAATGCAAAATCAGAGGTGTGGAGGTACAGCAGACCACGTACAAAACAAAAACACCAGAAGGCAAGGAGAGATGAGTTCAGTGACTTGTGTGTGGAGAAAGAGAGCGAGACAGACCCACAATGTGTGATTTATATGAATGCCATCTGCATTGTTAGCATGAGGTTGAAACCGGAAAGCAAGGTGGGGTGCCTGGCTGGCTTAATCAGTAGAGCATGCAACGCTTGATCTTGGATGTGTGAGTTCAAGTCCATGCTGAATGTGGGGATTACTTGAAAATCAAATATTAAAAAAAAGTAGAAAGCAAAGGAGACAGGAATGGAATGTGGGTGACCATAGCTTTACATGTGTGTGTACACAGATGTATAAAGAAATTCCTCTGTGTTGGAGGCATCATTCAGTTCCTAGGACCATCGAGGTTCTAGAGTCCCTCCCATTCTAAATTCTAGGATTCTGTGCCTCCGGTATTGCTGACGAATAACGCTAAAGTTAGTAGCACCGAGCATTGCGAGTGTCACACGTTGTCATTGTAAACTCCCTGGCTCATGAACAGCAGGAACCATTTCCATGGCGGTGCCCGTTTCAGGAAGATCATGGTCAGGGGTCAAGGTGGCCTCACTTCTCCAAGGAGAGGGCCTCAGCAGGGCCTCTGGGCCACGTCTGCCCTGCCTGGTCTTACTCAGCTACAGCACACCCCAGGACTGTGGGAAGTGAGCATGGAACATTCCTAACATAATTGGAAGTTTGCATTTTCCTTACATCTCAGCCCATACTAACCCACAGAGAAGGGAGTCTCCCTGACCCCCTCGTGGATCTGTTTGGTTTGGAGCATTGCTCTGCCCTGCGGTGGTGCTCAGCCCAAGGAACCCCGTATTGCTACCACTTCTGCCTGCTCATTTCCAAGAAAGCACTGGCCACCAAGGAGTTGGAGTTGGCCTTCTTTTCTGAGCGTGTAGCTTTTAAAAATGGTGCAGGAGGAAACATTCACATGAATTGTCTAGAAGGAAGAGCTTAATAAGGATGTCTGCCATCCCCTAACCTTGTTTCTCTTGTGTCAGATGGATTTGCCTGCTAGTCTGTTTCTATTTCATTGATGTGTGTCTGGGGAAAGGAGGCAATTGGCAGTTGTTGGAAATGGAAACCTGGTTCCCTTGAGTTAGTTTCTGAGTGTCCCCTCCTGGGAAAAAGAATCTATGGTTGGAGGGGCAGGAATATCAGATAGCATTCCAAACTTGGGCCCTGCCTGGCACAGACTAAACATCACATCCATCAACCATGTTTTCAATTTTAAAGTGAAAGACTGGGTGGGTAGGGATGGATTTTTCCTCAGGGATAATTTGAATAAGTCCTAAGCTTATTCTTTTCATGTTCCCAAAACAGCTGGACATAATACTGTGGCATCCAGGCTGTTTGGGGTCCAGGGCCATCAGGGTCTGGGAGATGACAGGTTTCCTCACTTCCTCACTAACCAGTCACCTTCCATCCGGAAAGGATGGTCAGTGTTCTTGGCACATCTCTGTCCCTCAACCTTTCAGATGCAAAACATGATTTCATAGGTATATGAAAATATATCAGCCTAGAATTTAAGTTTTGTGTTAAATGGAAGGGAAGATGGGGCACCTGGGTAGCTCAGTTGGTTAAGCATCTGACTTCAGCTCAGGTCATGATCTCAAGACTCATTAAGTGCAAGCCCTGTGTCAGGCTCTGTGCTGACAGCTCAGAGCCTGGAGCCTGCTTCAGATTCTATGTCTCCCTCTCTCTCTGCCCTTTCCTGCTCATGCTTTGTCTCTCTCTCCTCCAAAAACAAACATTAAAATTTTTTTTAAATGAAAGGGAAGATTTGGAAGGTTCTAAGTGCAGAAAAGAATGAGAGCAAAACACAGCTTCCTCTGAACCTAGGGAAGAAGGCCAGGTGATTAAATGTAGAGCAGGGATGGGGCGCCTGAGTGGCTCAGTTGGTTAGGCATCTGACTTTGGTTCAGGTCATGATCTCACAGTTGGTGAGTTCGAGCCCCGCGTCAGGCTGTGTGCTGACAGCTCAGAGCCTGGAGCCTGCTTCAGATTCTCTGTCTCCCTCTCTCTCTCTGCCCCCCCCCCCACTCGCACTCTTTCTCTCTCAAAAATAAATAAATAAACCTTAAAAAAATGTAGAGCAGGGATGGTGTTGAGGTTGAGTGGGGTGTGTGGGAGAAGAATGAGCTGTGAGTGACCTCCAGGTGACCAATGTACCTGGAGACTGTAAGCCCAAGGGAGAAGAGTGAGGAGGTAGGGGAGAAGGAGAGATAGTAAAGCAGAAGGAAGAAGTCATAGGAAGTGGGGGGAGTAATTCCTACATAGTCTCTAAGGACAGAGATGAAGAGCAACTCACCTTCTTCCCTGCTAGTAAAAGGCTATGGAGCAAGCAAGGACTAACGCCCAGTAGTATCAGGGACCCGGCTGAATGCAGAGTGGATTTGTCCTGGCAGTTCAGAGAATTCTCCTGGGAAATGCAAGGGAAGAAGATTTGGGAAGCAGGGCTGAGCCAAGGCTGGGCACCCTCTCACTGAGCATGGAGGAGGTGTAGGCAAGGAGAACATGGTGGAGCTTAATTCTGCTGAAATGGACCAGAGGGATGCTCTGGGCCTGCGATGTGAGCAGGTCCATGATGCAGAGGGTCTGCAGGGGGTAGAAAGAAGGCGCCTCTAGCAGGAGAAGATGGTCCTGGGTAGGGATCTGGTGGTCAGACCAGGCAGGAAACACATGTGGGACTTCAGAGGGAAAGAACTACAGGTAGAGAGCTGGTAGAGACAGGGACGGAGGGAAAGGGGGGAACACTGGATTCAAGTTGCCTTGTGGCTTCTGATGTTGCAGGAATTGGGGCCAAAAGGGAAGAAGTGGGAACGAGGCAGAGAGGTCAGCGAATCTCTGGGAGGCTGCAGAGTATAGAAGGGAGACAGGACTTAGCAGTGGTGGTAGATTGTGCGTGTTCAGACAGTAGTAGCCACACAGCCTGGAAGGGCAGCAACAAGCCACCCTCTCGGTGGACCCCAGCACAGGGACAGGATTGAGACTTCCCTGGGAAAGCAGCATGTGACCCAGTTTCAGAGCACCACCCCCTCCCAAGAAACCCTTTTGAGGAAGCATCTTCGCCTCTGTTTCAGGATTGCTGGTGACACAGCCCTCAACAAAAACATCCATGAGTCTGTCAGTGCCCAGATCCGGAAGAACTTCGCAAAAAGCAAATGGAGGGTAAGTCTTGTGCTCATTAAATTTGCAATGAGGGGCACGTGGTTGGCTCAGTCAGTTGAGCATCCAACTCCTGGTTTCAGCTCAGGTCATGATCCCAGGGTCATAGGATCAAGCCCTGTGTCGGGCTCTGAGCTGACAGCACCAGAGACTGCTTAGGATTCTCTCTCTCTCTCTCTCTCTCTCTCTCTCTCTGTCCCCCCCAAAAAAAAATTTTTTGTAATGAATTGAACCACCCCCATGAAACTTGCCCTACAGCTGGAACATTTATTATTTCTCAAGGTTACTATCACCCGAGTTTGATGAAAATCCCCAGAACCTCACCCAAATAATGTTGCTAATTTTAACTGATAACGATTAAGACTCAAAGGAATGTCATGGTGTGGGAGAGATAAAGTATGGATTTAATATTTCCCCTCTGTGATTTAAAAATAGCAATAGTGTCAGCCCTTACTCATTTGCTGTTTCTTAAGAACATAATTTCTGTTGTCTTCCCTTCTGTTGCTGGGTCTTTGAATAGCTGACCTTTATTAAAGTGATAGGAAAGAGGGGTGTGGAAATACAGGGGTCTGAGTTGAACTCATCAGTATTTTCTGCTAAAAATGTGATGGAGTTATACCACTGAGCTCTCCTGATCATTGACTGGTTACCTAAACCCTATGTTCTAATCAGTGCAGGGAAACAAAATTAATTCCAATGACCTGCTTCATTCGGAGGCAATGCTATTAGTTAGGACCCAAGGACCAATAATAGGAAAATTAAAACTACTTAAAGCATCAGCTTTGAAGATACTGCCTTAGTATAATAAGACTTTTATTCTAAAAGCCACTTCCCTTAAACGACGGAGAGAACAGGTTCACATTTATTCTCGATGTTTACTATGTCAGAAGAGAAGTATTTGTTTATTTTTTAATAGTTCATTGTCAAGTTGGTTTCCATATAACACCCAGTGCTCATCCCTACAAGTGCCCTCCTCCATGCCCACCACCCCCCTTCCCCTCTCCCCCGTATTTGTTTAAATCTCCAAAATACATTTTGCTGGAGACAAGGGGTGCAAAACTTTAGCATCGTTTTGGAAGACGGGGCAAGACAAGCTTCCTTTTTAAAGTATCGTGAGAACGTTTTTAAGAAGTTGGAAATGATGGGGCGCCTGGGTGGCTTAGTCGGTTAAGCGTCCGACTTTTGCTTGGGTCATGATCTCGCGGTTCATGGGTTCGAGCCCCGCGTCGGGCTCTGTGCTGACTGCCAGCTCAGAGCCTGGAGCCTGTTTCAGTCTGTGGCTCCCTCTCTCTCTCTGACCCTCCCCTGCTCACGCTGTCTCTCTCTCTCTCCTAGAAATAAAAAAAAAAAAAAAATTTAAAAAAAAAAAAAGAAGTTGGAAATGGCTGGGGTAGGAGGAGAAACAATCGGACAGAGTCTGAGTCTTTTCTGATTAGTTGGACTCTTGTGTCTGCCTTTTTTCCCTTTCTTAAATTTCAGCAAGCGTTTAATGCCACGGCCGTCGTGAGACATATGAGGAAACTCCATCTTGGCAGCAGCCTGGACAGTTCAAATGCAAGCGTTTCAAGCAGCCTCAGTTTGGCCAGCCAAAAAGATTGTGCGTATGTAGCAAAGACAGAACTTTCCATGTGGCGGGTCTGACGGATCTGGGGCGGGGGAGGTGGGAGTGGTCCTTTGTGAGCTCCTGGTGTTTGTCAGGCACTTCTGATTTAATTCATCTTGTTGAATGTCCCCAACAACCCTGGGACATTATTTAATTTTAAAGAATGTTTTCTAAGTGTTTAATTATTCAATCTGCACACAATCGTAGGTATGACGATTTCCATTTTTAGATGAGAAATCTGCGCCTCAAGTCCCGCACAGCCATGTCTGCCTGGACAAAAGCCCAGATGCTTTCAGATCCGTCTCCTCCCCCTGAGGCTCCCTTGTCGTTGTGCATCATTCTCAGGGGTTGAGGAAGGGGTGGCAGAGACTCATGACAGCCTGATCTCATTGGCTTTTAATACCTAATTTTTGATGAGGATGATGATGATTGGAGTTGAATTATATTATGGGCTTGGCTTTGCAGTCAGAGTAGTAGTAAGAATATTTCACTCTTTCATCTTTTGTGTTGGACTGTCCCATCGTTGGGGGCATGCTTATACTCTGTTTTTCTCCCCAACTCCCCAGTGCTCCCTGGGCTACTTACCCTAGTCCCACATTAGGCCATCTGAGGGGCTTCTGTCTCCCTCGGGACAGTTACCTTCATGGTCTCTGTTGCCCCTCATCTCCCTGACCATTGAGACCCTTCAGTTTGGTCCCATTCTGGGCATCACATTCCATCCCATTACCCTCAGAAAAGGGTTCCCTTCCTCTCTAAATAGTCTTCCCATCTCATTTGGGAATGTGAGCCCTTTAGTTTTCCCCAGAAATCACCATGAGCATCCCCTGACCCAACATGCTGTGGTAGACCCACATGTAATGGATCTCCCCATGGCAGGGCCTCCAAAGGTCACGGGGAAACACGCTACTGGAGCCGAGCTGCATCAGGATTTCCTGATGCCAACACATGCTCTCAGGGAGCATGGCCCTGCAGCGTGTGAGCAATTTTTCTAGGCCAGGGCTGCTGGAATAGGAAGAATAGGAGAATGGCCCCATTTCTTTTTTTTTTTTTTAATGTTTATTTATTCTTGAGAGAGAGACAATGTGATCGGGGAAGGGGCAGAGAGAGAGGGAGACACAGAATCCGAAACAGGCTCCAGGCTCTGAGCTGTCAGCACTGAGCCCAACGTGGGGCTCGAACCCAAGAACCGTGAGATCATGAGAACGGCCCCATTTTGATGTGCTGTGTGTCACAGGTGATTCTTAGCCAGGAGTACAGACCACACACCAAACAGGGGTCGGCAGGGGGATCACATTCTGTCTTCACTCTTCAAACCTCTCCTAAAGGGGCTGTTGTAAGAACAGTTCTTATGTATTCAACACCTAGCCTGAAGCCTAGTACATCGTAAGTGCTCAGTGAGTGGTACCCTGTTATGGGGGCTAAACCATGTCATGTTCAAATACAAAGCAGTCAGGATCACTAGAGCTAGAACAGGAGGGAAGAGTTGGGTCTAGGAAGACAGCATTTCATGGACACATTGCAAATGTTTTCCTACAGGTAGTTAACACTTAGAGGCAAGTGCGTAAGAGTTCGCCATCCCCCTGCCCTGCGCAAACCCTGCAGTGGGAAAGGGAGCGAGTACTTTCTTCTGAAACTTTGACCCCCTTGTGTCCACTGTCCCCTTTGCAGGTCTGGCACCCTCCACGCTCTGTAGTTTCATTTCGTCTTCATCGGGGGTCTCAGGAGTGGGGGCGGAGCGGAGACCGAGGCCCACCACTGTGACCACAGTGCACTCCGGGAGCAAGTGACTGGCTCTGGAGGTGGGGCCCAGGGGCGGGGCCAGGGAAGGGGGCTCCCACCACCCCCGCAGGGCCGCCAGCACCACCAGCCACTCCAGAGTGATCCCACCTTGCATGGTGCGCCTTCCTGCACAGGACTGGAAGACAGAAGTTTTTTATGGCCATATTTTATACTGCAATTCTGAAGTGTCCATTTCTCACAAACTGTACTGACTCAAGGGAGCTGACGTAATAGGATCTGGTGCTGTACATATGAATCTTGCAAAGCTCTGATAGAACGGACCTCCCTCATCCTCTCCCCCAACCCTCGTCACTTCTGCTCTTCTCGGTATGGGGAACCATCTATGTTGTATTTTTTCATTAATGACAAAAAAGGTTTCAACTGGATTATTTAAGTCTTGGTAAATATTGCGCATTAGGGTTTTATTTTTTACCTTTTAGGAAATATGCCCTTCTGATCTTTACTTCTTAGTCACATGACCTGTATCTTTTGCTTATCAGTAGTTGAGTTTTATGTTAACCTTTAAGAGATGTGTTTTTTTTTTTTCCCCTCCAAGGGGAATGTAAAGGTATTTTTTAAAATTCTAATAAGAGGATCGAGAATCTGTCTCCAAGGCGAAGAGTGCACTTTACTTCTATTTTTTCCTCCTTCTCTCTCCTTCTCTGGAGAGGCGGCTCTCTAAGAAAACAACTCAGCAGTCTAGTGAGGCTGCCTTGTCTCCAGGGCCGCCTTGGGAGGGAGTTTGCAGAAGACCTTTTCCAACACCCCCTCCAGCACGCCCCTGGCCAATGGGAGACTCCAGGGGTCTTCGCCATCAGTGGTCAGAAATAAGAAGCCTGCGCCCCCAAGACTAAGGCTAAACTCCAGAGGCTTCACTTGCTGTGAAAGAGATGCCCACCCAACAAAGATATAAGAGCCTCCCTTCCAGAAGGAAGCAGATACCATTTTGGTTAAAGGGAACGTCTCACATGGCTTACATTTCTCATGAGGGTAACACAGAAAACTCTGCTCTCAGCTATGCAGTTTTAAAGTTAATCTCTCTCTCTCTCTCTCTCTCTCTGTGTTTTTTAAAAATGCATTTCTAATATTACACTTAAAATGGCCTCCAACTGACACAAGTCGTTTCTGCAGATTTTTACCCTGTTCTTCTATGAATGTTACCCAGGCGAGGAGAAGGAAGTGACCTTGGAAAAGAGTCCATTTATCTGGGTTGGTAAGGGAGGAGACCCGCCAGGCAAGCAGGACATTGGCCAGTGTGGTGACAGCCAGCTGGCACTTGCAGCCCTCCCTCTGACCTGGGCAGTCTAAAAACCAAAGACCTGTAGTGGTGGTGTCACTTAAGAATTTCTTGGGATGTAGGACTTTCATTGCTAAAACTGGCAATGTCCCAGGCCACCTGGGCAGCGTTGTTCACCCACGTGATGCACAGGTGTGCAGGGTAGACCATGGCGTGAAACCCAGGGCAAACCACTTCCCAAGAGGGCTTTGAGGATGCTCTCTTGCAGAAGCATGTAGGCAGCTCCAAATGCTAGCTTTGTAAAAGCTTTCCCTAGGCCACCATGCCCACCGTAACACCATGAGTCTGCGTTTCACACCATCAGCCTCGAGCCTGCCATGAATCCCTGTAGGTCTGCCTGATGGCCCAGCAACTCTGCTGGCTGTGGTCCTCCTACTTCTCCTAGAGCTAGCTGGACTCAGCAGGTCCTGTTGGTCAAGCTGTCTTTGTCACTTCCCCACCTATGCCATATGTTTAGTGACAGCCCCTCAACACACACACACCTACCATATTACTAGGCTCAGCAGCTCCATCCCGCCTCCATTAGTATGGTAGTGCAGGTATGTATAAGAGCATCTAGGAAGACTGGCAACTGGTCTACCCTGTTGCCAACACATATCATAGGCACCCAGCCCCTTGGCATCTGCCACACATTCATCCAGAGTGAAAATCAGGCTGTCACTCTTCATGATTTATAAAAAGCCTGGAAAATCTGTTAAATGACCACAGACCCAGTTGAGAAGCAAGTGTTGTGTGAGTTGCATTAGTATCTATTCCATCACCACAGAAGGAAAATGGCATGAATGTTATAAAGTATCAGAAAACTGAGGTCTCTCTCCAGGGGCTTTGTTATGGTGTTGCTTCCTAACAAGTATAATGGAACAATCCTATTTCTACAGTACAATAAAACAAGGAATTAGATGTAATGGGGTGATAATGTGCCCAAATCTGGTACCTATGATATGTGCCTAACATCATGTCCTATGTGCAATCAGTTGCATTTGGAGGGCAACTTCTGAAGCCAAATTCTCTTAAGGGTGATTAGATTATTTCCTAGAGCTAATATCAGGGGTGCACGTTCTATTCAATTAGTTTGAAAGCATGTCTCACCAAGAAGTGCAGAACAGGTGAGAGATGAGGCCCTGTTGCAAGCATCCTCTTCATGGCGTGGGTGAGCCCATGGCCACGCTTGGCCTGGAGCACGTCAACAACACAGTGTGAGGCGATGGGGACCAGTTTCAGCCCAAAAGCCAACTCTGTTGAACTTGACATCAGGCAAATCCATTCTGTCTCAGTGCCACTGGACTTGGTTATTTCCTATCATTGTAGGAAGAGGAGAAAACAGATACCATATGGAAGGACTTTTGCTCTTTGAGAGAGCTTTTGTGGCATAAGAACAGTTCTCTTTCAACTGCATTTGGTATTATTTATGCTTTATTGCCACACGGCAAGAGAACCCAGAATGTGCCTTTTGTTAAGACCGGCTAAGTGCCGGGACCCTCGCTGATGTCAGATTCTACCAGTCATAGCTGAGCCCCGGGCTTCCACTCGCTGTGGAAGCCAGCATGTGGCTAAGGCTAACAGACAGCCACCAGCTCCATCACAGGCTTCTTTTCAACCCCAGCAACACCCCCTACGTTGGTCTCCTCAACTTCTCAGAGCTAGTGGATTATTTTTTTCACTTGAGTATGACATTTTGAAATATCCTTGAGTGGTCTGTCTGTCCCTCCTTCTCTTCCCTACTTTTTATCTCATTAGTGAGGTGGTAGGCAAAGCCAGCACTGGTCTGAAATGAGCAGTCAGTGCTCACCCACACGGGGCCCCCACACGATCAGCTGCTTATCACCCTTAAGCAGGGTCCCCTGGGGTCTGGACTGCTCACTGTTCTCCCTCGGTGAGCACACCAGGGCCTGGGATGTTGGGTTGGTGTGGGGCAAAGGCAGCTGGAGCCGAGAGGACAGGGAATGCCTACGGGGAGCACACCGGACCATGAAAAGCCCTTGAGAAAAGAAAAAAGTGCCCAGATAGATTGACATCTAGTCCAGGGCAGCATATGCCCATCACAGCAGCAGGTTTTACCATCTCCTCCTGCCTCTGTCCCCATAAGAGAGCAGCAAGAATGATGTCCCCCTTCGTGTCTCCTTTTTAAAGAAAAGAGCCATGCAGAAAGCATACCAAAAAACAAATGAATAAGCAAACAAAAAACCAAAAAGCAGGCGTGGCTTAGTGCTGTTGACTATGGCAGTGATTCTGGTCACTTCTCAAATCCCACCTTACAAGCAGGGAGCAGCTTCACATCCCCACCCAGGAGCCTGTCCCCTTTGAGAGGGTCCCACTCTCCAACCAGCAGTTAGCATAATATCCGAGGAACTCAGCAGTCCAGCATGGGGCAAGGCAAGATGGCTTTGGCTCAACAGCAAGGCTCCGACACTTAGGAAGCATAGGCTGTCTGATGGCAGGGACTTGACATATGACCCTCAGACTCTGTTTACCTGCCCTGTTCATTTACCTACCTTGGTGTCCAGCATATCCTGGATGGATTGTGGTTGGGAGAGGGGAACTCTCCTTTACAGCAAAGGTCAAGAACAACAGGGACAAAGGGGAGGGAGCCCAAGTGACTCTTCTGATAGGGAGTTGACTCTCTCTCTCTCTCTCTCTCTCTCTCTCCCTCTCTCTCTCTCTCTCGGAGCAACAGCTTCATCCGATTAACCCACTGGGATTTGACATGCTACAAGTCATGTTAAACAGAAAGAAAAGACCAGAGGCAGTGGAGATGACACAGCATGTTAAGGCTCTGGCCCCCAGGGCTCTGTGTGCCACCCAGAGCTTCAGCCAGTGTTGCTCCCTCGCACTGGGAAGGCCAGGCACGAACCATGGCTCCAGGGCTGGAGACAGGAGAGCTAGAGTTACTGGCTCTGCGGTGTGGCCAACAACACCCCCTACTCCGTGTGATTCCTAAGGTTTCCTTTGGATGTGCAAGAGGAAAGCAAGGGCTAGCAAAGGGCAGGTCCTCCCATTTCATAAGCAGAACTAAGATGTACTCTTTCCCAGGGTCACACACTCACTTCCGGCAAATGAAACGAAGGTCCTCTGATTCAACCGATGCACGAAACCTTTGCATGTTCTTCTGAACCAGTACTACTTCCGCGGTCTGTCCACCCTCCCTCGGCAAACTTTGCCTTTTCCTTAAACACATTCCAGACCAAACACTGTTCAGTTTGTTTCAAAAAAAAAAAAAAAAAAGTGTATACCTGTATGGAACCCACCATTCTTTTGGGAGGGGGCGCCTGTTCCTATAGGTTGGGGCTGCAAGCGTGCCTGACATTTGCACCCAAGGGTTCCAACCCTTTGGTTTTTAGAATTGCAAATGTTGAGATAGAAAAGGTGAATTGGATAAACAGAGTCCGAAAGGGGGGCAGGCTTATTTTCTGAAGACCCCAAGAAAGCCAGCCTGCAGATGAGCTAGCTTGAAGAGCTCTATTAAGGAGGAGAAGGAGGAAGACCAAAGCCCATGCCCTCTCCTCCCCCAGTGTCCTTGTGGCCCCAAGTGCATCACAGTCTGCAGCCTGGGCCAGGGCACAAGAGCCCGGCCCCACTGTGAAGTCGGCCCCGCATGCCGGCCAAGGCCTGGCCCGCCGCCTGCTCCGTGCTGACCCAGACCCGAAGGAGCAGCAGCCCTTCCCAGCCTTCCCACCACCTGCGGCTGGAGCTGGAGCGGCTCGGCTTCTGGCTCTGGGGTGGGGGGGGAGCACTCCGCTTCTGCAAACCCAAAGGCTGTGCATTCGGCAGCCAACCCCACAGCATGTGGCTGCCAGGTCTGGTTTCGTGGACAAAGTGTGGAATGGCTTCTTGGTGTCTGTATCTTTCTACACCAAAGGGACAAACTGTTCCGTTCACCCTTTGTACTAATGCTGCTTCTGCATTTGCCATATCTATTTTTAAACCTTTGGGTCCCCAGGGAACTTCTCCTACAGTGATTATGTCTTCTGATTATTTACTGAATTATTTTACTTAGAGGTGATTTTATTTTCTTATGGACAGGAAAAAAAGAGAGAGAGGAGTGTGTGAGGCTTCGGTCATAGAGATGAGTCATCACCAGGGACCCCAAAACCCCAAACACTAAATAAGTTACTCCTCAAAGGGAAACCTTCATCTGGACAGACTGAGGTTATCAGGCCCTCATACCAGCCTTACACTTGAGGCACAGGGGCTGGGACAGGGCGGGCAGCCAGGCTTTCCAGAGATGGAAGGAAGGAACTGATGCATCGCTTGCTTGGACACTGGTCGTACACACAGTGACCTGCTCCCTCCTTCTGGGGCCCTGGCATCAGAGTGGATGACATGCCATCCAATGACAGCAGAGAGACTACAGAATCTTTGTTTTGAAAGACGGGTGGCATGTTTCAGGGAACACTTAGCTGAGTGCCACATTCAGGTTGGATGACATAAAAGGCACATTCTGTCCAAAATAAAATTTGGAACAATTTCTAAATTGGCATTAGTCACTACACATAATGTCACTGCCCTTCTCAGAGCCCTCCCACCAGCAAGCGAGCATGTTTTCCAAAAGCTTACAGCGGCGAATCCAGGAATGTCCCCGCGTCTATTACTATGAGGCTTGTGATTGGTTCAATTTTTCCATTAAAAAAACGTTCATCCCAGAGAAGGGAAATTGTGCATTTATTCCATGCATGTAACACTCTGCAAGAAGTTTAACCCACCTAGGTTTGCGGCACTGCAAAATTGTTCATGGGCCTATGTAGCAAATGATTCTCTGCCTTGACAATCATGTACACATATCAAGATTTCTATCATAATGACAACGAGATTGATGACTTCTTGTTTTCCTCCAATAAAGACAATTAATCACCTTCAGATGTATGTGGTTTGTTTCCTTCATAAAGAGCAGGAGGGGGTGTTCCAAAAGCTCTCTTCTCCTCTTTCTAAAGTTTAGATTGGAAGGGAGTTTGAGCCCCTGGAAACTCATTGGGTTCCCTAAATATTTTATGTCACCTGCCCAATCAGCCCAAAGTGCCAGAGACAGGAAGGGGTGGGCAGGTCTTGGCTTTGGGACCTGTGGAGGGTGCCCCACTTTACCACCCTGCTAGTCGGAAGCTCTCCTTTTCATTGCTGCTGCAGAAAATGGCTGGTGTCCGCCCATTAACTTAAACTGCACTAGCTAAATATTCATGAGTTACTTAGAGCAAAAACCGATATCCAAGAACCCCACTCTGAGTAGGGGGTGAGCAGGTGCATGCCTATACCCATCATTTTGCTCAGCACAGCTTTGGAGTTCTCCACGCCCCCAAAAAAGATACATTCTGAGCAGAAGGCTGCCTGCTATCTTTCTTTCTTGTGAGGTAGGGGGTTGCTGCATTTCATAGGTCATCAAACATGTAGTGGGGACTAGGTCTGATGACCAGACAAATAGTATCCTCCTATCCAAATAGTAAGTGGCTATTTTCAGGGGGAAATGAACCGAACGTGTGTTAGAGATACGTAGAACTAACACTGTCCCAGCAGCCATATCAGGTGAAAATGGCATGAGCCTTTGCAGAAATGAGTGACCCCTGAAGACATACTGTGCGCACCATCAAACGTCTAGTCTTTTCTGATTTGATTATGGTGTCTCTTAGTCCAGACCCTAATTATGAAGTATATCGAAGCAAAGCAATCATTCGGAGGATTCATAGGTGACATTGTTGATGCAAATGTTTGGAACAAAAGAACTTTGGTAACCTAACCAAGTTTGAAAATCCTTTGTAAGGATTTATTAAAGAGGATTCACCAAGTGTGACTGAAAATGTAGTCAAAGCAAATGCGCTGAAGTATAAAACGAATCCTGATAGAAAGCTGGTGTTTATAAATGCCTTAGAATTGAAATGTTTAAGGTCAAACTTTTTTTGTACTTGGCTTCAGGCACATTGACCAGGCAAGCTTCTCTGTCCTTCCTAGATCTACCTAGCCTCTGGGCACTGAAATTCATCCCAAATTTCCTATGTTTTCCAGATAACACTTGGTCTGACACATTCTTTTGTGAAGATCTATCATTGATCATAATGCACTTAGGAGCCAACAGTACAAGGAGAGGAAAGACTTCTTACATAGTTACAGGATTGTGCATCCAGGAAAGGCCATGCCTGATCACAGCAGGCACAGAGCTTAATGGCAAAAAGGGGGTACAAATTGTATACACCCAAATCCTCCTGATCCTCCATGCCCCCAAGGATGACGACTGAAACAAAACTATTTCACAGAGAAAGGTTCTGAAAACAGAATATCTTCAGTTAACACACATGCTGAGCCATTTGGCTGAGCTAGTTGTAGTCTTGGGGGTATGTATGTACTTGGCTATGACAGTGCTCTCTAGTTGAGAAAGACCAAGGAAGAAAAGTTGTGATGAGTTCCATATTTTTTCTTTACATATTTGGTTTCAAAATGTATGCTGAGCCCCTAGAGTGTATAATTTCCAAAAAGCACCCCTGTTATAGTAGCTGTTCATAAAAAAAAAGAGAGTGTCTGTGTGGGCATGCACACACACTCTTGGACCCACCATACAGGGTCTTCCAGTTGAGGGAGTAAGTAGGTGGGGCGGGTTGCTGGTCCACACCCTCCACACCAGGCCCTGCACCCTGGCGCAGGGGAAAGGGTGCTTGTTTATCCACCCAATCCACACAAGGGTGCCATCCAGGTGCCTGCTGGCTTGCGTGTTCCCAGTAGACCGCGGAGCATGGGACTGAGTGGTGGGACCTCCAGAACTTTCATCAGGTTTCCAAGGCTGAGGAGAGCTGCCATCTGAGAGCTCAGGACCTGGCATAGGCTCGGTGGGGAGCTCATCCAGAGATGTGAGAGGAGAAGAGTGTGAGCCTTCGAGAGGCTATCGCAGAGAGTTGGTACATGCAAAAGCACTTTACAGACATGAGTTGGCTTCATAACTGTAGGAAATGTGTTAGCCTCCTTTGTTACATTCAAGGGGCTCAAGAAGTTTACCTCCTTGAGCAGAAAAATTAGACTGCAGTATCCACAGAACCCTCAAACCTTCCCTCATCCATTCACCGCAAGGCCTTTCAAGTGGATCCTGTGATAAACTTTCATTCATTCATTCATTCAACGTGTTTTGAACACCTACTCTATTCTAGGGTTTTCATGCATACTGAAAAAGACAAGGTAAGTCTGACATGGACCCTACCCTCAAAGGCTGCATGAAAAGGGAGTTCTGGAATGAGCCTGGAGGGAAGGGTAGTTTTGGACGGGAAGAAGTTAGTAGGAACAGTGTGAGCAAGAGCATGGAGTCTGGACACACAGTATGCAGATGGAATCATACATATCTCCCTGGGCACAAGCCTTGGGTGTGGGCAAGCCACAGGGAGAGAAAGGCAGGTCAGAGGAAGCTTGTTATTAGTATCATCAACAATAATAAATAGTAATGATGATGTCATGTATCCATCATTTACTGAGCTCCAGATACTGTGCTAAGTGCACTCCCCTCAACATCTCATTGAACCATCAGCCTGACAAAGAAGGTGTCCTTAGTGCACAAATGGGTTCAGAAAGTTTCAGTGATTTCCCTGAGGTCAGCCGATTCGCTCAACTGAGACTGAGACCAAAGGCTGTTTTCTGCTGTTGTGTTGTTCCGTGTCTCAAGAAGACATGTCATAGAAGCTGGATTTGATCTAGAATCAGAGATGAAACAATAAAAATAACATTTCTGGATTTTTTAAAATTAGTCTATCCTCCTGTTCTGATTATTATCTCTGGAAAGTTCTGTTTTCACGCGTAGAGTTTCATCCCTCACGTGCAGACTTCCCTGTCATCTGCTATTCTCCTGCAGATCATCTTCAAAGCTCCTGATTTATTTTCAAGAAAGTGTCTCAGATCTCTTGTCTTCTTCCAGCCTCCCTTGAGAGGAACTGTATTTAGCATGAGCTCATCCACCTAATATGTTTCCATCAGCAAGGGGACTCTTTCCAGAAAGACAGTGGGCCAAGAAAATGCAGCTTGTGGCCAATTTATTAACCCCTTTCCTCTTGCCTACTTCTTTGTCCCGCTTTTCCCCTCCCTATAACATTTCCGTAGCTTCAGCACTACATCTCTCTTGAGTGCATCAAGATCTATTTATGTGAGCTTTACTGTTTATGTCAGCTCATGGAGAAATTCACTTGAGATGCTGAGCCACCAGCCCAGCCTGGCTGTGATCACACAGGAGAGCATACCTACCGACCCCTCTAATGAGGGCCAGCTGTTTGTTCTCCAGCACGGACCTGGAAAACAGCTGACTTCTATACTCACCTAGCCCAAGGTGCTTGTCACGTGACACCCTGGAGGCAGAAAAAAAGCTTACTCAGAAGTAAGTCTTTAAAATTAATTGTCTTGGGGTGCCTGGGTGGCTTAGTCGGTTAAGCATCCGACTTTCGCTTAGGTCTTGATCTCGCGGTTCGTGGGTTCGAGCCCCACGTCGGGCTCTGTGCTGACAGCCAGCTCAGAGCCTGGAGCCTGTTTCAGTCTGTGACTCCCTCCCTCTCTCTCTGGCCCTCCCCTGCTCATGCTGTCTCTCTCTCTCTCCTAGAAATAAATAAAAACATTTAAAAAATAAATAAAATAAAATTAATTGTCTTGTATCTGGACAGTAATCTCCACCAGGAAGGAATGTCTCAAGGGCACAGCAAGTGGGGGGAAACGGCATCACCTCTGGCTCAGGTGAGTCGGACTGTCCTAGGGAGAGCCTGTCTTCCTCAGCTCTGCTCCTGGCTAGAGACCTCCAGCCTGCCACTTCTCAAAAAGCTGCATCCCAGCACGTCTCACTCATTCTCCTGGGGAATCTGGCTAAGATGCAGACTCTGATCCAGCAGGTCTGGGCTGTGGCCTGAGCGTCTGCATTTCTAATAAGTTCCCAAGTACTCCCACTGCTGATGATCCCTTGACCCCACTTTAAGGAGTGAGGGACTTGAAGGAGCCTCTTCAAGGTTCTCATGACTGCCTGCATATTTGAATCACCTTGGGGACCATTCGAAAATACTAATGCCCAGGCCACCTGAACCAGGATCTCTGGGTTGGTGTGGTGGTGGTTGGTGGTGTGGTTGGTGATTGTCAAGTGCAGAACCAAGGCAGCCTAGTCATCATCCCACCTTGAGCTGAGAAACTCAATAGCTTGCAGTGAAACACTTCCGGACCATAAGTGATAACTCACCTTCCCCTGACGGCGCAGGGTTAACTCTAGCCCCAACCTTCCAAGTATAGCTTCCATAAGCACATGGTGCCTCCTCTTGTCTGAATGAACCTCTGTTCTTCCCACCACTCTGAGGCACTCTCACTGTGCTTTCCAGAACTCACTGCCTCTCATCAGTAAAATCCATTATATTCTACATGTAGGTGAAGAGGAACAAGGAACCATTTCTACACACAGCAGAAAGGCACCCACAGACCCGGCCATTGAAGGAATTGCTGTAAACTAAACAGCCACCCATCTCTTGTGCTTACTATCACATAATTTAAGTGATTGGTTAATTCATACAACAATCACATAAAGCAGTGAGTGCCAGTTACTGTTTCAAACACTCATCAAATATTAAGTTGTTCAATCCTTATACCAACTCTATTATACAGGTGCTATAATTATCTAAACTTTACAGATGAGGAAACTGAGGTGGCTTAGGTGACTTCTCCCAGACACACCTCTAGCAAGTGACTGTTATGGGCTGAATTGTGTCCCCCCCAAATTTATATATTGAGGTACCAACCCTCAGTACCTCAAAACATGACCTGATTTGAAAAGAGGATCTGTAGGGTGGGTCTTAATCCAATAGGACTGACGTCTTGATCTTTTTAAAAGGGAAATTTGAACAAAGACAGACAAACACACAGGAGAATGCCATGTG